TTTCAGGCCTGTTATTCACAATTGGCTATTTTATTGTTTTGGTTTTTATATTATTAATAACTGTTCAAGAGTTCATTCAATATTACTACCGCTCACGTAATATGTAGAGAGTACTTGTAAATTACATTTAGCAGTAAACTGTGGGAATATTTCGTAGAAAAGTTAACTATAATAATTATAAAAGCGAGTGTTTCGTGGAATGTAGTCAGAAAATTAAATTACGGAAATCGATTATCAAAACCTACAAAACAGTTTTTAAACAAATAAAAAAATTGCTCTCTGTCATTGTTTTAAACCACATATCTACTTTTTTTTCATAAACTTATTGACTTGTTGCTGTATTTCTAGGGCATAAATATGTGTGGAGTATGATTTTACCTTTCGCAGTTGAGTGAAAGAAATGTGACACGTAGAGATCCGGATGAAATTTTTAAAAATTAAAATGGAGTGTACCGTAGTCAACCGCAAGCTAAGCAGCGTTATAATATGGTAAAAAGAAACCAAGTGTAGCAGTGCGAAGTTATTCTTGAGTCCTCTTTTATTTAGTGGTTCCTAATCATTAAAACTTGGTCTGAAAATAAACAAAAGTCTATTTGTTGGTAAACATACAAAATTATTTCTTCTTGTGATTATATGCAAATTGCTGTTCAGTTAATAAAGACATTTTTTCCAGAAGGCCCCGAAAACAGCCATACTTCCTTGTTATGAATCTTTAATAAATATGGTAGATTGTAAAAGGGGAATCGGTAATAAGTAATTAGCTATAATTGTATTGAAACCCAAATCACTAAACTTCTTGACGTAAAGGAAAGGGATAAATGTCCTCGTGGTGCTTTTGTATGAACCAAATTTAATTGTTTTCTGCTTAAAGTGATAGATATCAACAGATAATATATAATTTTTAAAATATTAATTAGTTAGCACGTTTGTAAAGCAAACATTTTTTCAAAGATGTTGAAGGAAGCAAATTGACCTTAATTTCCACAATTTTAAAGACGACCAAGAAAATAAGGACTCCTCCCCACTGGAAATCTGCTTCCACCTCTTCTTACACTTTAATACTTTGGTACCCAGTTTCATTTTTCATGCAGTTTCTAGAAAAATATCATAACACAGACCAATATCATAACATTCTTTAGAAGGTATATCAAATTTTGAATGCAGAATTCTAAAAGTAATTTGAAAATATTGCATGAATATTTTTATTAAAATTGAGATATTTATATTTTTTAAATTCAATATTTTTAGATCTTCATTTCATTTAAAAAAGTAATTTATTTACCCTCTTCATTCCTAAGTTTGACTGTGTGATTGTGTAATATTGATAAAAATCTCTATGCAATTATTATTGATATTAGTAATTACATAACGCCTAATAGTTTTAAATTGGCGAAAACAAGTAACTTACCTTAAAATCTTCTGCAAACCAATTTGCATTGAGAAGTGTAAGAAGTAATATAATATTGAAGAAGTGAGAAGTCTCCCGTGCTGCAGCCTGCAACTGATATACCTAAGGAGGTTATTCACACTTGCACGAGGCCTACACTATAAATATAAAAGTTAATTTGTTTGTTCATAACTTTATAGTTTAGTAACCAAAAAGAATATCTTATATCACAATATGAACACAAGAATAATAAGAAGATTGTATTTTTTTGTTTTTAGCCAAAGACACAAACGGTATCGCGGGTAAATGTTAGATCTGGTATGATAATATGCAACAGAAGTTATGTATGTCCCTATTTCTCCATACCATTTATACTATGTATGTGTAAATACACAAATCACTGCTATAACAGATCACTAAGGTAAACATTTATTTATAGTTGGTGAATTATTTATTTTCCAATTAATTAAAAAAAAATATATTAATTTTGAGCCCTCAGAACCAGAAGGAAAGTGATGCTAAACGCATTTGCAAAGTTATATACTTTTCATAAACATATCCTCCTAATAATGACTTTTTAATTTATTACGTTTGCATTTAATATGACTGTTTTATAACATCTCACTACATATTTATAATTATAATTTTAACATTTTGACCATTACTAAATATTGATATAAATCTTAATTTATGATAGGTAAGTACTATATACATATGTACATTGGTGGAATTGGATTTTAAATTTCTAATTTTTGTCATAATCTTGTCGTGTATAAAATTAATAAATTACTGAGGAATAATAATAAAAACACAAAAATTACCACAATTTTTATTTTATTTATCTAACATTATCATAATATTATGCAGTGACAATATGACTTACGAACAAAAATATTAAAAGAACACCTTTTCCAAAGTAATAATAATTAAAAATAAGTACATGCGAGTTGTCATAGGATTATCATATTAATTATTATCATTCATTTATCGAAGTAAAATATATTTATATTTCGTCGATATTGTTAATATGTTTAAGTTATTTCTAGGTACGATTATTTACTTTCTCTACTTCATTGAAGCGAATCGAGTTATTAAAGCATAAATAACCATTGATGCACTACAATTTAACAAGGGTTATAATAACTTATTTACATTTTCTCGGTTCGCTGAAGGTACCATAGTGGAAAAAATGGTTTATTTTTATTGGTTGAGAAGCATTAACTCAGAATCACATTTAGCGCCTCACAATAAAATATATCACGTTCATTTATCGCTTATGAAAGTTTTAGTCTTGTAAAAATAAAAATAAATATTATACGAATTAGAATTAAATTTATATATACTTTTGAATATTACTTAGCGATTTTGGTTGAAAGAAATGATTTAACATATTTTTAATATATTAATTAATAACGACGTCAAATTATTTGCCTTTAAAAAATATAAAAAACATTTTTCGTGAAAGGCGCTGATGGAATCAAAAATAATGTCCTGTATTCCTTCCACTATCAGATTGCAATTCTGAAAATATTTCGTTTGAATGAAAAGGAAATTTCTATGAATTCTGTTTCAATATTTTAAGAATTTGATAAGAATTTAAACCATTATAAAATTATGTTCAAGGAATATTTATATCATACATGTTTTCTAGTTTAACTTTTGAAATTAATACATTTTTTTGGTATCTGATACCAGTGTACATTTTTTCACTTTTGAAATCTGTTGCAAATGAATAATGCTAATTTGTAGCACAAAGCATATGCCATCAATCTTCTTGCTCGTGTAATTCAATATCACTTCTTTATTATCAATATTGTAATAATTTATCAGTTAAGAATACTTGTACAATGAATAAATTAAGATAAACGTGTGTCTATCTATAGTGTTGAAAACAATAAAATAAATTCTATTTTATGTTTAAGTTTAAAATTTATTTAATACAATAATTATTGAGACATATTTATTTAACATGAATCTTTATTTGTATATTTACTTAAACCTATTCTATTTTTATCAACAATAAGGAAAACATATTAATAATCAAATTATAATATTTTTGTCCAAAACAATATTCAATTTTACTAATAAATAAATATAGCAATTGTCACGAGGCACTTTTATCCAAATGAAATCAATGTTTCATGCTTATCGGCTACGTCTCTTAGTACTATATTTATTATATGTACATGAAAATTATACCACTTAATATAACGAAAATCATTAAATACAATTTATACAATTATAGCAATGAAAGTTAATATAATACAAGCAAAATATTCGGCTCTCAATTATAACAAAATCCTAATGAATATAAAAAACAGAACGTTTGCTTTTTTGGCAGTCAATCTCAATTTATAAAATTAACTGACGTTAAGACAAATTTACATAAGGTTAAGACAAGGGCATACCGACAAACAAAGCATTGAGAAACAATCTAGTTGTAGATTTTTTAATTAAAAACACAGCCTCATATTACTTACAAAAACATTGAATGCTCATATTTATAACTAACGACATTTTGACATGAATTAATATTACGTTTTAACATGCGATGGACGTGTTTATTATATATAACAATGGGGTTATTATTTGAGTATTTTATAATAATTTCGAAACATTATAGGTAACTTATATTAAATACAGGAGAAAATTCTAATCAGTATTTTTGCAATATTTCACACAGAATGTAACTGTTCGTAGTCAAATAAAAAGAAAACGTTTAAGACCTTTAGGTAAGAATATTTTTACATTATTAAAAGAAAGGATGAATTATAACTGGAGAGTATTTCTGCTTGACCCGATGAAAGAATAAAACCTCAGTTGTGAAGGGCTTCTTAGAGTTTAAGAGCACTGAAGGGTTGCTTAGAAGCCTCGAGTCTTAGCAGCTTTTACAGGTCGAATAGGGTTACTCATTTAAATAGATTTAAATAAAGTACCATTATATTACACACATATGAATACTAGGTATATTATACTGAAACATAATTTTAAACTAATTAGTATACACATGTAATATTTTTTTTATTAAAATTAAATTATATTGCAAGCAATTTTATTTATATATTGTGACAGTACTTACAAGAATTTTATTACAACACTGTTTTTTAACCTTAACAATACATTTCAATACATTTAAAAATACAGTTAAAACGCCAGCTAAATTTAATAGGAATATAAAGTTACTTGACACTAACTATTCATTTAACGTTAATTATATATGTACATAGTAAATTAATTTACAATTCATTAATCAGTCTATTTTAATAATCATTATAGTTGCTACATAATCGAATTATAAAATCAGTTAAGCTCTTTTCTAATCCAATTGAAACAAAGAAAGATTTGAAGGTAATCATAAAATGAATAACTAAAATATTTAGGCCCAATTATTTTATTTAAGCATAAAAAATAATATGTTTGTAATATTTTGTATTTTATATATTAAACAATGGTTATATTTAAAACTGTATATGTTACACGATAGGTAGTATAACAATTTTCTTATAAAATGAACTACGGAAACTCAAAAAGTATTGTCCTTATCTTACTAGAACAATATTTAAAACCCTGCCTCACTACATTTAAAATATATAACATCTTAGTCATAATTCAGCTATCTTATTGAAGTCTCTGTGAAGTTATTTAATAAGAATTGCAAAATTACTTGTAGCAATAGAACCAGAATCGTCGGGATACAAGTTTCTGTTGCAGCACCTGTAAAGAAATCTTAATCAAAATCCGTTTAGATTTTGACGATGAATGTATACAACACCGTTATCAAAGCTATTAATTTTTTTCGTAGTTTTAGGTGTTTGTGCATGCATTTACATACATATGTATATACAACATGAAAGTCATAAAATTTTCTCGGTTTGTTTAAGACAGAAATGAGCTACTTCGCTCCGCCAAATTCGCCATGTTGTGCTAACATACTATACTTTGAATGTAAACAATATTTTTACCTGTAAAACTCCTGCCCAAAGCGGAAGCCGGGTTCGCGCTTCGCTCTCGTAAAACTATTGTGTGGCTGGTTGCTTTCCACACGTCGAATATAGATGCTTCACAGCTGTAACAATTACAAACATTGTTTTAAACGGTACATTTACCACTTGTGTGAAGTATTGCTATGTATTTTCTGTTGACGTTAATCTGTTAACAAAATATTGAAGCCTTTTCTTTACTACTTTGCATATTTGCTAGTATTTACTTGGGATAGATCTAGAGAACTGAAATTCTTGAAATAAAATTTATATACATTTTACTATGAAATGTAAAAGAACAAGACTGAAACCCTATATGTATATATATATATATATATATATATATATATATATATATATATATATATATATATATATATACGAAACACGTATGATTAAAGTTAGGAACATAACATTAAATTAAAAACATTATATTCTATAAAACTTTTATCTTATATGAATGAAGTTCATGTTTTATAATCTGTACAGTTTAAAGTACTCGTTCATTTGTAATTAAAGTATTCATATTTCAAGTTTTACCTGATTATAAATTTCAAATGTAAAAAAAAAAATTGAAATTAGTGTTGTGGAGTTTTTAATTTGCAAATGACTTATTTTATATATAAACTTAAAAATATTTTTTATGTAACAACCTATATGTTATTAATAAATTTATATATATTTTTACGAAAACAATTCTACCAAACCCACCCCATAAAAGCTTGAATATAATATTATGTATGAGACATATCCTTTTATAGCTCCCTAGTAAGAAATTCAGACGTGAGTAAAATCCCTTTCTATAACAATAGTAGAGCCCTAAAACAAATCCTCTAAAAGGTTTAATGTTATAAGACTAAAATGTGAATACTATTAGCTACTTAATACATTAGTCTTAATACATCAAACAAAAATCTTGTTATCTAATCATATAAACATTTTTTTTCAAAACACACCTAATTGAAAGTATGATGTTCTGAAATGCTGTGTGATTTATTATATTATTTTATGTTTTATGTCCCGTTTTCGTTACTTCATAGGAGCCGTGGTTACGAGCAGACTAGATGAAAGTGTCTGTCAGTTAATCTTGTTATTTGTCAAACAATTTGTTTTGTTGCGTTGCGTTGCGTTGATAGACACAAAATACCCTAAGTGCATTTGATCAGAATTTTATCTTTTTAATAAAGATATCTTAAGTATTGCAAAATTTCCCTCGTTTCGACAGATATAAGATGTGTTTAATTGTAATAGGTTCACGGAATATTTTCGGTATATACCTACCTTTACGAGTAAGGATCTGTGAATTATCAAACCGAATGTAATGGCTAGGCTTGTCCACTGTGAGTTAACACTGCACTGCTGTCTATTTTTAATATCTGAGATATACCTAATATATAACAAAATTGAGATAAAATATAAAATCCCATGTCCGTGACTACACTGTTGGTCCCCAAGGTACAGTTTTATACTTATGTTGTATAGTGAGTGTTTATGAAGATGTATATATGAATGCTTGTTACTCTTTCACCTAAAAATATTGAGGTTTTGATTGAAATAGACCTTATTGTAGCTAAGGCAACAGAAAAAGAGAGGCTATAATTAGTCCACGAATTCCCTTTGTTCCTGCGTGATTACGACACAAAAGTTGTATTGTCAATGAAGTCACGTGATACAGACAATATGTCGCTGGCGATTGCTTTAACATATCCATTGTTTTATCACCATTTGTGCATTCTCTCTTTTAGTACAACATCGATGTTCATGCAGACGGAGTCGTAGTCAAAAATTACTTAGTAAAATAAATTGAAATAGCGTACATTAGTTTTTTGAAAAATTTTATTAAGGTATTAAAAGATCAACTCAAAACCTTCAAAATTGTCCTGAGGAAAATTAAAACATTTATTATATTGCAGAACAAGTTATCCGAAAAAAATTGAGGATAAATTATAAATAATATTAAGTAATTTAAATTATATGTAACTTATGCAATGTTGAAATAGTGGTACAACGTTTACAATTTTGATAAATCTTCGATGTGACAAATAGGAGGTTTACATAACATTTGTGATATGTTTGATATAAACGAGCCGGTTGCGTGTTAGGAAAACATACAATTTCACTGTTATTACAAAATAGAATTAACTCAAAGGATTAAAATTAATTAACCAGACGTAAACAAGCAACATTTAACATAAATAATAAATGTATATTTATTATTTATGTATACAAATTGCTTACAAAAATTTTCCCTCCGTTTTCATTCACAGAGAATTCATAAAAAAACAAAAACCCACGATATTTATTTATGATTCCACAATACTAATTAATGTGACTTCCAAATACAGTTATGTTCAACCGAACTGACAGATTAATACATTTTGTATCTTCATAAAGCAACTAGATTGATATACATTGTAAAGGCAAATAATATATAATAAAATGTTAACATGTTATTTAAACTCATTATATGTATTATGCAATAAATTGGTGATACATGCTAAAACGTGTATATAAGGTAATATTTTTAATCAAAGCACTGTTAATATTTCAAAAGCAACTTGTTTTGTGTAACGATTTGGCATCAAAACTTTTGTTGTTTTAGTTTGAAAAATTATTTTTTTATCTTATATTAATTATTTGTCTGCATCTTGATAAATTACTCTGAAATTATGTTAATAAGTTGTGACACAAAGGGACAAGGAGTTGGGATCAAATGAAAATTAAACAAAATAAACTTCTTTCCCCCCCAATATTTTAAAATGAATAAAAAAAATAAAATCAATTTTCATTACTTAAATGTCGCACGAGTAAAATACGTATTTTAATCAAAAACACTATCAGAATTACTAATTCCTTTTCGTGCAGTTTATTATTGATGTTTGGTACATTAAGTAAGGTAAACATTAAACATATGTACATGATACTGTATTGATCACAAAAAGTTTTGTTTATTTCATAAATTCTAATGCTATTTACGAATACGTTCTTATCGCTCTTGATAATTTAAATTATATATATACATTATACGAAAATTATTCAGTTGTTTTTGAACTAATTTTTGTAAGAAAAAATATCTGAATGATGACTGATCCCAGTATCCACTTATTTAGTATCCACTTATTTATAAAGACAAAATTTTTCATTTTTCCATGGATTCCCCGTACGGGTACCGTGTGCATCGAGTTGCAGGGAGAGGAGCTCAAAAAGTGCTTGCAAAGGACTTGTGACTTATGTGTAAGGACCCCCTATCTAACGCGCGTTAAACCCTCACCTCCACCGTGCCAGTTCCTCTCCCTGCCTAGTCAAATTTGAAACGAACCTAATACGAAGTATGATGTAAGAATGAATTGATGTTCTGGGTAGGCTTAAAACTTTAAAAAATGTAATCAAGCACAGATGCCTTTGAGAATGCCAATAAAAAAACTTCTATTGGACTTTAAAGGCTTACCGTATCATCAGCGTAGGCACGGGAGACAACACTGCTGCCTCCAATTCCAAAGTGGACAGGCTTGATGCATATCCGTTGCTAAAATTCAGTACATGGTTTGCCGTAAAACTTGGAACCTGGAATAATTCAATTTATTACTTCATTGCTTATTAATTAATTTTACTATTGACATAACATGTTGACCATATAAACATCATAAAGTATACGAAGTTAAATTAAAATGAAACAGTTTTAATTGTTTTATATAAATAGAAAATTTAATTGAAAATCTCACCCAGAACACATGACCAAAATGTTCATAGTTACGGTCTCGGGCAACTGTTCCTGCTTAAACCTAATCTACCATATATTACTGCGAGACTAATATGTTTGGCTCTTTCAGATTTCGTTACCAGATACGACCGAAGTTATTGAACGAAAAGTAAATAAATTTATGTTTAAAGCTTAAATTCGCTTTTCAGTGAATGATAATGATGCACAATGCTTTGTTCAACAAATTTTAATACTTATTACTTTAATTTTAATTCTTATTACAACAAATTTTAATATTATTACAAATTTTTATACTTTTATTTACTATCATTCCTACGTTCTGGGTTGTTTTAATTAAATTCCATAAAATTCAAGACAAAGATTTAGTATCGAAATTCCTATGATAATGCGAGCCAAAGTAGTAGTCTAGTTTTATTGAAATGAAATGTTTCATGTCTAAGCCAAAGAACTTACCATTTGTTCATTGACGTACCACGTGATATTAGCTGCTGGTAGTGATGGTGGCGAGGTACAGTTTGCTCTTATGTGATCTCCACCGATGTAGGTCATTCTATCAGATGTAACATTGGGACTTAAAAGCGGCGGTTCTGCAAAAATTATCATCTTTGGTATTATCTTTATTAAAATGAAACTACATATAATAATCAAAAATATTTGTTTACCATGTAGGAGTCGTAGAAATAATTGATTATGTTAATTGAACATCAACAGTTTAACACCAATCATATAAAAAGAATATGATCTAAATTAGTTTTATAAAGGAAAGCATAATAATAAGCTAAAGATTTTTTTTTAATAAGCCTGCATTTTTGGTTCTCAACAAGACTTAAATCAGCCGACAACTTGTTAATAAGAGTTAAATTGTTATGGTTCATTTTAATCAGTTTTACTTGCGTTTTAGTAAACGCTGGGGTAAAAATACACGCTGCTCTTTTTAATTAATTCCACTCAGTTCATCCGATTCACTTTGTTTTTAAATCGGCTTATATTTACTTAAAATATACATACACGTGTAATGATATTAAAAATCAAATATAAAGGTTTAACAGACATTTCAATTAAATTAATTAAAGATACAACGGGGTGAATTTAAATCCTTATTAATGAAAATATTATTTATGTAACGATTATTGAAATTCTCATTACGTATTTTATTACGATAGCCTGTTAACGATGGTATGGAATAATGACGTAGTAATAATGATTTATTTTATGCGTATTTAGGTAATGGGGATGTTTATCAACCTTAACAGCAATATTATGTATCACTTTGTTTTAATGGGATATGTATATGGGAAATAATTAATCATTTCTTATAATAAAACAGCGTTCTTTCAGAGCGATATGTAATTCTTTTGTTCCATTTAAAATTATTGACATCTTGTCATAGGGAAAAGAAAATCCAATCTTTGATTGAACTAGATTACAAACAAATATCCAAAATTTTATTCAATCTCTTTGAATTCATTTTTTCTAAAGACAAACAAAAGTTGACATCTTTATTTCTCAAAATGAAATGAAATTTCATCATTCCAGTGTAAATCTGAGGTAAGTGACCTTGTACCTTTTTCCAATTCGTGAATACACAAACAAAGTAAGCTAAACATTTTTATATTACTAGAATGAAATTCTGAAATTCCTTTTTCCTTTAAAAATAATAAACATGTAAACAAAGACCCAAAAGCTTTTCTAAATATATTTTAGATATTTAAAATAATAACAAAGGGAACGTCTGTGGCTTAGGGATTGGATGAAATTAATACCATTGTTTTAAAGCACTTTAGAAAGGTATATTTTAAAAATATTTCACATATTATATGATTAATATTTAAGAAGAAGTTTTATTCTACTACTAGGATCCATAAAAGATCGTTATTTTAACTACAAACAATTTGAAGACTTTTTAATTAAATATAACACTGAATACGTTAATAATATAACGTCATGTTCAGATCGAATTGAATTCGAGCACGAGTTTGTTTTTATCAATTGAATTTACAAAATTCCAGTTGCGTTGTGAGTATGCAATATTTCAAAAATCCTAACAAAGGTTCCTTTATATTAGATTTTTTTGAGAAAAAGGTGGTTCAAGTGAAATCATAGAGTAAACGTACAATACGGAATATAGTTTAAACGAATATGAAATCAAATGTGCTGTATAGAATCATGAAAACTACTGTCAGATGTCTTACTTATCGTGGTACAGAGGTTAGTAGATTCGAGTTGCTCGACACGTGTTTGAGTTAGACTGTTCACGAGCACTAAACAATTACTTGTGATAAAAAGCCAAAATAAACCTTTGCAAATGAGGTTATAATGTCATTATTTTGTTGGCAAGCATTTTCACATATTTGAGGTAAACATAGATAGTAAATACGTCATGACAACATCTAATTTCTGACTTACATTATACGTAGTGCATTACTTTTATACTCTTTTTCAAGCCTTTTCGATAAGGAAGAATTTATACACTTTAGTTTTACCTTACTATCATAAAGACTATAGTAAGGGTGATGGGAAAACAAAAATATAAGATGAAATGTCACATAATATGTATTTCTAGTTACGTGTTTAAACTTTTTAAACCTAACTAAGGCATCAGAGTATAATAGTGGTAGTTCACCATGATTTAAATAAGAAAATAATTTAGCTTTTAATATACATGCTGCTATTTGTTAATTTATATCATCTACTCAAACGACTTCAAAAGAGGAGAAGGTTATCAATTCGTCTGTATTTTTCATCAGTGCTAAAAGGTAAATATTAAGCACTCTTTAATGTTAAATAAAATTTCTTTCAGCCTAGATGTGTTGAAGATTTAAACAACAATTCCATTGGAAATAAATAATAAAAATATATTAAACAATAATAAATAAATACTAAAAAGCATCAATGAATGTAAATTTACAAAACTTTGAATTATCATCATATTATATTTATTTGCAAATGTTTTAATCTCATCTGTCTCAGAATCTAAATCACGAATGGGGCATTAGTTGGAATAGAAATAGATTTCATATAGAGCTGCAGTAATTTAATCCTAGTGGAGCTTATTGAATTGCTCGTATCCGTTCTAGATTCTATTAATTTAAACATTTTCCGCTGGTTTACAAAATTGTACTTGATAACATATAGAAATATTAGTTTATTCCCGTGACTTCATTTGCCTAGATGACAGTAATAGGCTCAGAATGAAATATGTATGTAGTGTATTAAAACAATGGATGTGGTAACCCACCGGTAGCGACATCTTTATAATATTCGTTGCGTGACTTCTGATAAAATTAAATAGTTATAACGTCATCGTCACGTTATAACACATTTCGTCTGGCCGTGGTCACGGTTACTGTAGAGTAACCGAAACGTCGGGAGTATGTAGTTTATAGTCAAAAATAAAAATCGCGTAGTACATCCGAACATATTCATTAAGTTATAACGTGCACTCACGGAAACAACGTATAATTCTGAGATACATTATTGTGAAGAATTAACAAATTCTGTCAAGAAATTTTTGAGTTCAAATGTAACTAATAACCATCCAAACAAACTATTACCCTTACAGTATAAGTAGGATTTAATGTTAACTAAGAAGTACCAATAATACACTAAATTCCCATATAGATTTGTATTTCTATTAATTCGTCATGACCATTTCTCACGTACATTTATATAAAAATCTATAACTAATTATGATCTAAGGTGTGTCTGTATGTGTGTGTGTGAGTGTGTGAAATCTCAAAAATAATACACTAATAAAGCACTGGTGGAGTGAAAATATTACAATAGGGTTAATAATGTTCTTACCAACTACCACCATTTTAGCTGATTTTATGTCCGTATGAAACAAGGGTGCATCAGCAGATACTTCACATTGGTATTCTCCTGTCAACGTTCTGTCTACTTCTGTAAGTACAACACGATTTTGATCTGACGCTGCTACCTGTGGAAAGAAAGAATAAATAAATATAAAAATTTACGATATATTTATGGTTGCGTTATAGTTATAAATTAATTTTGTGCAATAGAATAAATTTTATAGCTCTCTATGAACACGCTAGCATTTTTGTATGATAAATGGCCATATTGATGACTTTAGACATGTGTCTGCATATTGAAAAATTTTCGAAGATTGTTTGTAACCATTGAAAAACCGTTGCCACGCTGAGTTGGGATGAACTTTGAATCGGATTTATGTCTCAGAAAATGCTTCGGTTCTTCCATGTTATTAACATCACGTTCCAATTTTAACAGATATGGTTAAAAGAAATAGTATTTAGTATATCTATTTATATATTATAAAACCAATATTATGTTATTTCCATTTCAAACTCAATTGGTTTTAATATCATTTCAAATAAATTGAACTACGTTCAATATACTTACGTCGACTTTAATCTCTGCCACTGGAAAAACCTTGGTAGCGGGCGACTCCTTTGGTACGTATCGGTAGAACTCAATCATATTTCTATACCAGCGTATCGAATATAGCTGGGCTCCTTCCAATTCGTATGTACACATTAGTTCCGCGTCTAGACCTGTGAGAACGGCTTTGGGGACGTGGATTTGAAGAGATTTGAGTGTATTCACGAAACCTGTAAACAAGTATTCAAACTATTAATAACGCCGTATGTAACAGTCCCCTTGTGGGTGAATTTATTTGCAGAGAAACTCATTTATTGGTTTGCAATTGAAATTGAGCTCTCTGCTGTACAAATAACAGTATATGAAGTTATTTCATGGTTCAAAGTAAAAATAAAATACAAGGAAATGAAAATTATGGTTGATACCTATTGAAAAACTTAAAGCATTATTTTATAATCTAACGATTTATTAAGACCTAATAATGAAACCTGGGATAAAATTTAAGCCTTTAAATATCAACGTATAATTTTTATTTTATATTTTGTTTAATATAGTTTCAAACCATTTTAAAACCCGTTTCGAAATAAAGTTTAAATTAAAGCACATTTTTGTCACTTCTCTATTTTAATCTCTCGTTAAAATTAGTAAACGGATTTTGTTGCATTTTACGGTTGAGGAAACTTGGAGATTAGTATCTTTATAAGCAGGTTCTAGATTTTTTATTTTGTTTCCTATCGACTTTGTGGTTATATTTTTAATTGTAAATATTATTAAAAATCTGACTAACGAAAGCGACAAAACAAGTAATTTCATTACAATTTATTATATATTTATTACAAATTACAAATATATTTATTAGAAATATGTTATATTCCTTATTGTACTACGTCCACGTTCAAAAATAAAGCAAAAAAAAAAACATTTAAATAATTCATGACCTAATCATGTTATACTCAAGTATTCTGTTTTATATTTAACTCCCCAAGGTTTTCTGGTAATAAAAAAATGAGAGGAAAAAAGAAATATAGTGAACATGCAGGTAAAAACAAAGACATCATTTGCGCAATCCACAACTTATAATACAAAATAGGACATACCAAAATCCGCTTTATTGTGTATAGGTAAACATCAAATTTCTATAACGAGTCTGTAGCTTGTTACCGCTGTAAAGTTCTTGTGTCATAAGATTTTACGATAGCCACAGTATATTTCTACCTTTCTCTAAGGTGAAGAAAGTAAATATCCAGTTTACGGCAGCTCGTTAGAAGTTCGGCCATAACGTTAAACGACAGGCGCTGTTATCGCTGCTTTTTGCTCAAATCTCGAAAATGCTTTGACAGATTTATGATTGCCTAGTACAATGGAAAACTTGGTTGAAGCCTTAATGACTAATTGTTATAAATATTACTACTATCCCGGATATATGTTATAAAGTCTTTTCTATGCATTCTATAATTTTATTTCCTTCTATAATTTCCGTAACAGTTTGTATCTTAAATTGACGTTGTTTTTGTGTCTAAATTAAGGCAAAAATTAAACCAAAATGTTTAAAAACGTTTTAATGTACTGAACAGAACTCACTTTATTGATTTTATAATTTTGATTATAAGGAATTCTTTGTCAAAATATTACAACTGAAATCATACAGTACAGGCCGACTATTGAGATATCAGTATTATGACTTTAACAATTGCTTCCTCTAGAATCTTCGAAAATATACACGCATCATTGAACACGATAGATATAGCTTTGTTTCACGATCAGTGATACGACTGCACAATGCTAAAACTATTCTCGAAAACATGCAGCGCTGGGACTTTATTTTCTTCTTTATTTTAAGTTAAATTCGTTGTTTTTTGTTAATAATCTAAAATTTCATTAAAATAATTAATTGGATTAAAGTTAAAACGCAATATTATTCTAAAACAAAGAACAATATAAGTATGTATTTTGAATAGAAGAGAGTAAAAGTGTTATAAAATGCGGTCTCATGTCTGAGCTACGATTTTTAAATTGTACGATGTGGAAAAGACTAGAAAAGTGAAAGAAAAAAATCTCTACTGATAAATCTAAATTAACTTCAGTCAGGAACAGTCCTTTTTCTAACTCAGGTTGTGAGTTAAAATATAACCCATTTTATCTTTTTAAAACGTTCCCGTTGGCATATTAATTATTCTCGGAGAATTAGGGTTTACGTGATAAAATGTATGCTTGCGGAAAGATCTGAAAATCGAGATAGAATATACCACTTAAAATATTCAATTAATCATTTTGAAGAATTATTTCATTCCGTTATATAATTTTATTTAACAAAGTCTCTGTTTGTTATTTGAGACTGTATTTTTAATAATTGTATTAGCATAATTGCTATAACTGGTTTATAATAATTAGAAAAATAAAAATACTAATGTCAACCTAACAAATTTTTACAAACAATGTAAATGTTGAAATTCACATCGATCTGTAATTTTCGCATTTATTCAGCTGTATTGCGCCAGACAACGGCAAACAAAGAGATAAAAGCTTTTTAAATCTCCAAATTTATGGTTTGTTTGTTCAAACGGAATACTATTTGGAATATCCTAGAGTTTGCGGCCCGATATTATTTAATACGGCCGAGTGAAGCATGTTTTATGCAAACTCACGCGCGTGATTGGCGACCGAAAGTTGAATAAAAGTATATGTACATATTTTCTATGTCAGATTTCATATTACGAATGAGCTCAACTAAATTATGTATGTTATTAACAAAATTCTGCTTATAAAGTTTACAATTTGTAAGCGTCCCTTGCATAACGTTTGAAGTTTCTGTTCCTGGTGATGACAGATTTTAGAGAATATGTTGCGCACTTGTCTGTTTGGATATGACGGGACAATAATAGTTCTAGGACGTTGAATATAACGAATTCGTATTAAAACTAAAACATCATAGACTCAAAAAACATATAATGAAAAAATTCATCAAAATGAGCGGGATTCCAATCTGCAACCTCCAAAAGATCGCGTTGTATTCTCTTAAAATTTAATCGATTGTCACCTGTATCCTAAAGACATAACATCCCATTTGTATAATTAACCAAGTTGTTAATACGAAATTTGAATATATAAAATTATCTTACGAAAATCTGAATTAATGTTTTATAACTTTTTAGTTCACAAGAAACATTATAAAGATGTCACGACCGATGTAAATATTGAGCAATATCACGCAGATTACTGTATATGAGTTTCGATTAAGTATAAGCTCATTGCTTTAATGTTAAAAGAAAATATAATTTCAGAAACATTTTAGAATATTCTTGCTTCTTATAAGAAGAGTTTTCAATATTTCACCTCAGATCGCCTTTATCGGGTGTCACTTTGAAAAAGTATTCTGTTTTGGCAAACGAACTATTCAACATCAGTCCGTTGAACACGTTCCAGGTTTTAGTGATAGTTGTATATCACGATTTTTTGATACCGTTGTTGCCAAAACAATGTTTTTATTTACAGAATTTATTTTTATTTAAATAGTTGGATGATTTTATTTATTTCCGACATTTTTATTTATCTTTATTTAAGCTGCCATTTGTTTAGCGTTATACAAGTAATGTAAATAAATTAAATCAACTATAACATTTAAAATTTATATCCGGGTATAACAAATAAAATAGTTAAACAAAATCATTATATAAATATTTTTAAATTAACCCATAAAATAAAATAAAACTTTTGGGTATGTTTTTTTATTTTATTATCGGAACAAATGTTAAATATGCCTGATTTTAACCTGCTATTAAATATCCTTTTATTACCAATATATACAATTATACATAGTTGTAGCTAATATAAAATTCATTTGGACATAATGCTTACAAATTTTGTATGATAATTTTATACAATATTGTTTTAACAAAAACATGTCCTGGTATTTTAAATATCACACGTTTAACAAACCGACGGCTTTTGCATTTATCAGAATTATGTCTTCATATTATACACATAAATCTAAAATTATACTCTTCGATAACAAAATAATATATTTGTGAAATAAAGTTTATAAATAATGTTGATTAAAAAGATAGTTATTTCCAAGGCGGGTTGTCATTTCGCATTTTACTGAACACACATGGTTCAACGATCGCCCAGTAAAGTATAGTCGATTTATTTCTGCCCGCGAATTAACACATTGGTCATGCGCCGATGGACTGATTGAGTGTTGATTGGCTTTTATTTTAAAAATTCATATTTAAAATGTGAGTGTCATTTCATGCGGGCATTATCTCCGTTATTTCGCGTTTCACAAACAATATTTTATAGCTGAATTTCCTTTTTTCCGCATGATTGTGGAGTGTGTTTTTGGAAAAACTCTCGATTTGCTAAGTCAGGGGTTTTAGCTTCCGTACTAAATTTTATCTAAATCCTTTAAGCCGAAATATACGCGTTCGTTTACATTTACACATTCCTTTATAATGTGTTGTTCGCTTTTATATATGTTCAGGTAATTTTATATTAAATTTATTGTTTCAACTTAAATCATCACAGTTTCCACGAATATTTTAACATTTATATTTATTGGTTTGTAAACGTATTCGAAAATAACTCAGTATTACTATTTACTAATTCAACGAAAACCAAATTCATAAACATTTTTTTTGTTAAATGATAAAATGCATGTTTTGTTGAAACATTCTAAAGATAATTTATTATTATTTATGGTTATATTTGATTTAATATCCTTGTTATTGTACAAAATAGCAATAATGATTGAATATTCTCTTAAAACTAAACTCTTATTAATGTGAAGAGGAAATTTTGGATAAGGTTTCCATAATAACCAAATGGTTATTTTGGTTAACATGCGAGTACAAAAAAACTAATAATTATAATCATTTAATTACTGACATTATTATGAAACAGTTCATGTATTGTGCTTTATACGAAGTTAATACTTCACTGAGTCGCCCATATAAAGGCTACTATATAAGTCACTTCCGATAAATCAGAAACAATTGTTGTGTGTCTATTGTTTTATATATTAAACAAAATTTGTTATATATATTAAACCAAAACCTACTCCAAATATACATACTAATATCAGTTCATTAATAAGTACCATCTGCACATATCATTCCTCAATGCAAAAAAAGAAAGAAACATTCTTAACAATCATAATTACATAATGTAATTTTTTTATATATTTTTCATATATAAATTTGTGGAAGTGAAAATGAGGTAATTGATAAAAAATAAAGAAGAAA